TCTACTATCTTTCTTTCTGATACAAATAAATAACAAATTATGTTTATTAATTTGCTTTTCTTGTGCTCCAAATGTTCCAGTAACATCTGCATACCAACCTAACTCAGAAACTATATATGATAAGGAAGGATCACATATATAATTGAAAACAGTTTTAAACTTTACTAATAAAAATTCCACAAATTACCATTTAATATCACCAGCACTTTATAAAGAAATGTGCTTTTTTCTTCACTTAAATTTATCGCACTTAATGAGAGCACATTGTTTTGTCATAGTTTTCCATGTATCATTGTAATAGAGATAGTTTCTTCATTGATTTATAGTAATGTATGACAATGACATATACTGCAGATAACAACATTAGAAACTTCCTCGCTAAACACATATCGATCATGCTGCTGACTCATAGACACAATTATAAGAATGGCTGAGAACCCAGACAACTCAAAGTCTTGGCTGGAAAATTGGCACAGTCAGCAGAATTTTAAAGATGATTCTAAAATTATCTTTTAGGAGTATTATTTAAAGAAGTAGAGGGCAAGGTAGAGGGAATCAGATAGGTATGTGAGGGGATCCGGGAATTAGTAACCTCAGCCATCTGCAGAGAGCAATAGATGCCATTAGAATCTCAGGAAGGCCTTAGGGAACTTTTAAAAGAAGGAAACAGAATTCTGATACCATAGCAGAGAACAAGGGAAGAAAATTCCTATCTCTCTCTACTCTTTGATCACTTGTTCATCCTTGGATCAAGAGCTACAGTGCATAGGAGGAGGCTAGCATAGCCGGGATGGGCCGGGGTCAGTCCTTTGGGCAAAGTTTAGGAATGAAGAAAGAAAAAGGATGAGAGATTGGAAAGAACAAATGCAATATTACTAGACAACTAACTTTCTATTATTACTATTTGTAGAAAGACTCATTTGAAGCTCAATATTCTTCCAATTGTCTGTAGCTAATAGCTATAGAACCTCAGGTTACAGTGGTGCTTTCTCAAGTTGTTCACATTATGGAACATATGTAACCTGAGAATTCAGGAGGCATATGCAAGACTTGGTGAAAACAAAACATTCTTTTAGCATGATAGATGTATACAGATGATCTCACTTGTTAATTTCTACGAACTTTTCAATAATAAAACTCAGACTTTTTTGTGGGGAGGGGGACTAGGAGGGCCTACAAAGCAATGCTCAGGGGGCCTGAGTGTCCAGGGACCACAGGTTTAATGCTACGACATGAGGACTAAGTGCTACTAGTGGTACTGGGAACATCAGTGCCACTGTTGTGATTCTAGGGCATCCCCCAGGGCCAGACACCACAGTGCCACATGGTGAATGGTATTAAGCCCACTAGGGACAACCACTGTACTCTCTCTGGCCTTTCAAACTTGAACTTTTAAAAGAGAAGGACTAAGCTTCTATGATTATTTTCAGCGTAGATTTTTTAATTTGTGGGAGACTTCCAGAAGTACTCAGGGACCCCAGGGTCTACTCTAGGCAATATTCAACCACATGGAACAAGCAATTCAACACTTGAGTCCCAGAACGTGTAGCTGCTCTGGTTCTGTGATGTCTGGGACCACTAGAACTATGTAGGTTGTGCTTGCAGGCTTCCAGTGTCACAGTTCCAGTGCTTGGGGACCCACAATGGGGTTCAAATGTTGCTTGGTTGGTTTTCTTTGTTTTTGTTTTTTCAGGAGCAGTTGATGACTTCCCAACTGCTTAGCTGATTTTTATGTATGTTTGAAACAGTCAATTTCTGACCAAGACCTTAACAAAATTCTCTTATGTTCTTAAGAATCAACATTCAGGGACTGGAACCATATAGTACAGTCAGAAAGGTATATGTCTGGCATGCAGCCAACCTGAGTTTGGTCCCCAGCATCACATATGGTCCCATGAGCACCGCCAGGAGGGATTCCTGAGTGCAGAGTCAGGAATAAGTTTTGAGCATTGCTGAGTGTGACCCAAAATCAAAATACATAATTTTTTTTTAAAAAAAAGAATCACCACTGAGGCCAGAGCCATAGTACAGCGGGTAGGGCATTTACCTTGCATGTGGCTGACCAAGGTTCCATAGATGGTAGTCTGCCCCCACTCCCGCTCATGGTCCTCTGAGCCCACCAGGAGTGATCCCTGAGTTTAGAACCAAGTGTAAGCCCAGAGCCAAGCTGGGTGTCCTCCCTTCACCTGGAAACAAAGAAAAATCGTCATTAGAAATGTCAAAATAAGTAAATCCATTTTCGTAGCCATTCAACATTTATAAAAAGGAAATTATATCTAATAATTTTTTTTTCATTATAAATGCAACCAGACTCTGTCAGGCTGTTTTCACTCGGGGCATCCCAGAGAGGGGGCAGGAAAGAGCCCTCCCTGCCCCAAGGGATCCAGCCCTGGCAGTCAACCTACACTACCCAACTGCTGCCATGCTCCAGGACACTTTCCAGACCGAGTGACACATCATAAAACACTTCCTACCCATTTTCCATAACTACCAACCATGTTTGATGGTGTTCAGACAGTAGGCAACAAATCATAGAGAGAAATATCTATCTATCTATCTATCTATCTATCTATCTATCTATCTATCTATCCCTCTCAGAGACCCTGGCAAGCTACTTAGAGTGTCCCGCCTGCATGGCAAAACAGGTCTCATTCCCCTGACCCTGAAAGAGCCTCCAATTGTTGGGAAAGATGAGTAATAAGAGGCTGCTAAAATCTCAGGGCTGGGATGAATTGAGACATTACTGGTACCCACTCGAGTAAATTGATGAACAATGGGATGACAGTGATACAGGGATACAGTGATAAATGCAACAAGGTGTTAAATTTGTAATACCTATGCAGGTAATTTTTGATTCTGAAGAAAACTTTTAAACTAAAACTTCTCACTAAACTATGCTTCTCGAACATACATACATTTTTAGAATTGCATCTTCGTGTTTTCAGCTGAAAAGTAAACTCCACCTGTGGAGATGGGGGTGGGTCGTGGGAGGGATAGCTATGCCTCCAGGCAGTGTTCAGTGGCTTGGAGCCACGCTCAGTGATATTCAAACATCTGGATCAGAAAGTTCTGACTTGGTCCACTGGGTGTATGTTCCAAACCCAGGGTGTTGGGTGCTATCACTGTGATATTGAGAGGTGCTTGGTGGCCTCCACGGGTGCCACATGGTTCTAGGAATGGAACTTCAGTCTCCCTGCACTCTGATGATCTCCGCACCACCAAAAGGAAGCTTCTTAGTATTTCCCTATCGTCTAAGCTCTATTTATCTGTCTCTATTGTATACTCCTGTCACATTTAAAAGTTGTCTCTTAAATGTGAGGTGAACTTTTCCACTTGACAGAGACTGCATTTATTATCAACCACTAAGTTCCTAGTATCTTACACTATGTGAAATAATGTGTAAATATAATAAACAAGTGGATATTTGAAAAGTGTACATTTGCTAAAGGTAGGTTTTACGTTTTTCAAATTCTCACATTTGTAATATCAGAGATAATAAAATTTAAGATACATGTTATCTTTAGAATAATATCAAGTTTAAATACTGTAGGGCCAAGTAAAAGTTTGGGATTACTAATTCTCACTCACTATCCTCCCGTTGTTCAACGTTTCTTGAGCAGGCCCAGTAACGTCTCCATTTTTTGAGACTTTGTTGTTACTATGTTTGGCATATCGAATATGTCATGGGGAGCTTGCCAGGCTCTGCCGTGCGGGCGAGATACTCTTGGTAGCTTGCCAGGCTCTCCGAGAGGGGCGGAGGAATCGAATCCGGTCAGCCATGTTGGCCGTGTGCAAGGTAAATGCCCTACCCGCTATACTATCCTCCAGGAAAAAGTAAATAATAAAACTCTCTGAACAGCATATGCACCAATGCTTTACTTATTTGGTTTTGGGGGCCACACTTGGTTTGAGAGGTTATTCCATGCAGTACTGGGTGGGAGGGAATCTATGAATTTCAAGGATCAAACCCAGGCTTCCCAAATATGATAAAGCTCATCTACTAGTTTAAGAATTACTTTAGTAAGTGAAAAATTACATTCCTTACTTAAATTTATTTTTTTCACTATTTTTTAAAACATCATTCCTAACTGTCTATTTTAAGTAAACTCAAATAAGTTATGACCCAAAGAAGTTATTAAGTCATCAACTTCAGCAAATTAGAAATTGTCATGAGATTCTGGACAATGTAATTTCCAACAGCTGGAAAATAAAGATTTTTTGAACAAAGAGATGAGTAAATAACCCAAAAGCCATCCCAGAATTGGAAACTTTTCCTCTTTCCTCTGACAATTTTTAAACATTAATGTTTTATATGCCTTTAAATGCTATTTTGCTCAATTAGCTGTTTATTTGTGTGAAATAAAGGTCAACCTTCTTCCAGGAAGATTACAAAAACAAAATTCTTGGTGAAATCTGAAAGAAATTTTAAAAAAATTGATTCTTAAATTAAAAAATATATAGTGCTAATGTTGAAATTCTTGTTTCATTGGGTTGGGGTTTCCACCAATAATAATTAAAAAGAAAAAAACCCAAAACTATAAAGGCCTAGGATTCAGCTAAGTGTCTGGCACTAATTAATTTTAGCTCCGTAAAATTTTTACCAAAGTGAGTAAGCTGAAGTTCCAATAGATACCTAACAGTCTTGTTTCTGGCATTATTCAATTATGATAAACATAAACAGATTCACTGGGGACAAAAGGAAATGCAAATTTCTACTGGGTGTTATTTTTGAAACAAAAGGGACCGAGGAGGCTTTCGTGACGATTAGCATCGCGAATGCTACTGTGGATATTTTAAGATAAAGTACTTTTTATTCTCCCCGCCCCTAGCTTTAGGGTTCAAAGCAAAAGCCCGGGCCCTTCCATTCAGTCTGAAAGCCCCAGAGTCCCGGTAACCGGAAGAAAGCCACCGTCAGACTGACAGAAAGGCTGTCCAATAACGTTGTGGGGGGGGCGGGCCGTACCGCGAACCTTCCAATCAACGTGCAGAAGGCGCTGGTTTCCAAGGTGAACGCGGAAGTGAGAAACTCCTCGTGCGCCCCTATGGAGTCGCTGCTGCAGCATCTGGACCGCTTCTCCGAGGTCCTGCAGGTTTCCCGCACGAGTCACGTCAGCACCTGGGACGTGGGGACCGTGCGCCGCGCGCTGCAGTGGGCGCGCTACCTGCGCCAAGTCCATGAGCGCTTCAGCCGCCACGCCGCCATTCGCCAGGCCCTGGAGCAGCATCTGCAAACCAGGTGGAAGCGGGAGGGAGACCCGGCGCCCGCCCCAGTCTCCGGGTTACCGAACTTCCAGGTCTTGGAGCACTGCGAGCTCCTTTTAGCGCTGAATCTGCTGGAGAACCGGTCCCTCGGGGATGCCGCCCATCGCTTCCTGCTCCAGCAGCTCTTCCCGGGCCCTGGCCCCCAGGCCGAGGGCGAGGACTTTCTCCAAGACAGTTTGGCCCTCCTGGCCCGTCGCCGGGCTGCTGTCCACTTGCTACTCCTGGACGGCCCTAGAGCGAGTCCGACCCTTCAGGGCGACCCGCTGCTAAAGACACAGGCCCAGCTGCTGCTGGGACGCCTGCAGGACGTGGGTTACGCTGGCCCCCAGGGCCCCCGCGCTTTGCTCTGCAGCTTGTGGGAGCGCGTGCCCCGGGACAACTTCCTGAAGGTGCTGGCCACCGCGCTGCTGCTGCACCCCGACACCCCCAAAGAGGAGTCGGAGTCCGACACCTCTAGCTCCCCCAGAAAGTGGGGGGCAGAGCTCCTCCCGTGGCTTCTGGGGAAATCGGATGCCCTGACCGCCTTTTGCCGCCACCTCCCAGCCGGACTGTTGGCCTCGGTGGCAGGCGGCCACCCCGCCTTCTGCCAGGCCTATGTGGCTCTGCTGACCGAGTGGGGTGGACATCTGCGCCACGACCTCCGGGAAGGCGCGTGGCTGGGAGCCGAGGCCGGTGCCGTGTCCTGGGGGGAGCTGCAGGGCAGGTTTCACAGTCTCTGGCAGGCCTCGCCTCCTCTCCAGAGGGAAGTGCAAGCCGTGCTAGAAGCTTGCAAGGCCCAGGAGGGAGACTTTGAAGTTCCTGGGCTCAGCGTCTGGACTGATCTGTTGGCAGCCCTTCGGAGGGGTTCCTCATCAATGGGCGTTTAAGAAAAAGACAAGTGTTGGGTCTCAGTTCACCACCCTCTTTGTTATGCACCTCCTTCTTTGGCAGTCTACAATTATAAAGTAACCGTGTTCTCACCAATCCTTCTATGTATCCAAAATACAATTTTTTGTTTCATGCTATAAGTGAATGGCTTATTGGATAGTTAGAAATATGTAAAGTGATTAGCTTGAATAGGAGGTAATAGTAGGTCATCTACTTAAAATGATGAAATTAGCAATAGGATTTTTTTTTCAAAGAAGGCCTAGTTCAAAGACTGCCCAAAGAGCCACTTTTCCATGACAAAGCTTTCAAGTAACAAGACACCCCCTTTTCGCTCATAGTTTAGTTTTGTTGCTTCTTCCTTCCCCTTATCCCAAGTAGTGAAGTTTCAAGGAGAAACAAGGATTGCCAGAAACAGCTGGCTGAAGGGCCAACTGGCACATTTAGAAATTAATCCCTGGCCTTTTTAACCTGGTGTTCTAAGCAATTAACCAGGCCTAGCATAAGTTGTGTTATTAAGAAAGTTTGTTTGTCATTTCTGCAAATATTCCAGGCCCAAAAAGCATTTTTTCAAAGTATTAAATTCAGCACAAGAAAAAAATTGTTTACATAAAGCATAGTAAAAAAAGGTCTTTGGATATCAATTTAGCTTTTGATGATAAAATAATCAAAGTATACTTATAAAATAGAATATACTTTATTATTATTTTTTTTTTGAGGGGGAATGGGCTTACACCTGTCAGTGGTCAGGGCTTGCGCCTGTCTCCATATTCAGGTATAGAACCTGGGTCCACATGCAAGGCAGTCTCTACCTGCTGTACTATCCAGCCCCAATAGAAGACATTTGACTGCTGCGTCTGCCATTATTTAGGTTAATAAACCACAACTTTGTGACTTGTGTTCTTTCCTCCTCTTTTAAAGAAGTATTTAAATGAAAATAACTAAAATTCTCATATTTCCCCCTTTGTTGCTTACCCATAGGAATCTTAGTTTTGTGAGTTACCAGAGTGATCCACAATTGGTAAAATGATTTCCAACCACCAAACTTAAAAGTAATTTATTCATTTTTATTAGAGGACTATATAACGTTGCAGACATCAATATATTTTTGTCCATGCCCAGTTGTAAAATTCTTCAGAAAATGTTGATATTCAAAACTTTAATTTCTAGTGGAATTAGGGGGAAAAAGTATAGCCTGTTAGAATTTTTCATTCTCTAGTATCACCTAGTAATCTTTGGTTCCACTAGCAAGTACTCTTATCTAGATGATCCTGAGTCAGCATTTCTTCTTACTCAAATCACTGGTTCAGCAATATCCCCAGAATATATAAACACTGCTACTTCTATCATCTTAAACAAAAATTGATGTCTCCATTTCACATAACAAATATTTGCTTCGTTTATGTGCTATTTTTCCAATAAACTTTAGGGTTATGAAAGCCTACCATTTACTCTGAAAACTTCCAATTAGGATTTCCCCACTGATCATGCTATCTTATCCAAAATGCCTTCTCAAGATCAGCTAATGTCTCCTAAGTCATGTTTTTGCTTAGCCCATCAGCTAAATTTGATATAATTCATGATTCCTTTCTTCCATAGTGTTTCCATGTGGCTTCCAAGATATGAAAGTCTTTTGCCTTTCCTCAAACTGGTCGCTTTTTAATATCCATTTTTTTCTCTTAAATTCTTAACATTAAAATATCCCAAGCTTACTATTTATTTATTGGTTTGGAGGTCACACCTGGCAATTCTCAGGGCTTACTCCTGACTGCACCCAGGCGACCATATGGGGTTCCAGGTGTTGAACCTAGGTCAGCCATGTGCAAGACAAACACCTTATCCACTATAGTATCTGTCTGGCTCCACTTTATTTTTCTATGTATATAAAGTTTTGTGATTGTTTCATATTATCTGTGCCTTTAGTATCACCTGCAATTAAGTGTCTCATATTTCTCAGGCATTATTCTTAAACTCTAGTATTGTATATTCAACATCAGAATAAGTATCACTTTGGGATCCTCAAGCTCATCATGTACAACATCTACTTGACCTCCCACATCACATATCTCCAGGCAACTGATTTTCGATGTAATGCTCAAAAATCCGTCCTCTATCTTTTCCTGTATATGAAAACTGATAGACATTGTTCCATATTCCAACAATATCCAGGATGTGCCCACTTCTTTTCTATACCCCATTGCTGTCATCCTTTCCCTTAATACCTGCAGTAGTCTTTTAATCAAATCTTGATTTTACCTTAGTTCTTCTACTATTAGCAGTTAGAGTGATTTAAAAATGTCAGTACTCTAGTTTCTTTTTACATTGCATATCTCATTTGTCTTTTAATCATATAAGACTTTGTATCATAGATTTTAAAATTATGAACTGGCTTCTCATTCTTAGAGATCTTTCAAATAGTCTGCAAGTGTGTGTGTGTGTGTGTGTGTGTGTGTGTGTGTGTGTGTGTGTGTGTTAACGTGAGTAACATCTCTACCTTAATCATCAATTACCCCTGCTTCATTCACTCATTCACTGCCTCAGACACATTGCCTTCTTGACTGTACTTAGAATATACTAGGCCTGACCCTATCTGTGACTGCTCTTTATTTCTATAGAAGTCTTTTCTCTACCAGCTGCATAGTTAACCCCCTATTTCAAATATTTGTTTAAGTCATACCTTTAAAAAATTAAAAAAAATTTTTTTTGATTAGTGAAACACCATGAGGTACAGTTAGAGACTTACAAATTTTTGTGCTTGGGTTTCAGTTATACAATGATCAATTACCCAATCCCTCCACCAGCGCCCATCCTCCACCACCACAGGTCCCAGCATCCCTCCCATCCCCCCATTCCACCCAGTCTCTGTGGCAGGGCATTCCCTTTTGTTCTCTCTCTCTCCTTTTGGGTTCTGTGGTTTGCAAGAGAGGCATTGAGTGGCAATCATGTTTGGTCTATAGTCTACTTTCAGTATGCTTCTCCCATCCTGAAAGGATCCTCCCAACACCCTTTATTTGGTGTTCCCTCCTCTGTCTGAGCTTCCTTTTCCCCTAGCACTTGTAGCTGGCCTCCAAGTCATGGAGCAAAATTCCTGGTACTAGTCTCGGCCACTCCTGGGTGTTAGTCTCCCATTATGTTACTTTATGTTCCCCAGATGAATGCAATCTTTCTGTGTCTATCCTGCTCTTTCTGACTCATTTCGCTTAACATGATACTTTCCATGTAGTACCACTTGAATGTAAATTTCGTGACTTCATCTTTTCTGACAGCTACATAGTACTCCATTGTGTAAATGTACGTATCTTCTTTAGTAAGGCAATATTTTAATCATCCTATTTCAGTATGCCCATTTATAATCTTTCTTGCACTAATCCAATTCTTTCTTTTTTCCATATAAATTTTCATCACCAAATAACTTATTATTTTATTTTCTGCCTCCCTTCTATAGGAAATCAACTCTAAGAAAGGGTTCATTATTTTGTCAATATATCCCAAGATTAGATACCAGTCCTTAAAATACAGTGAATGGTCCAAAAGTTTAGATGAATCTATAAATAAATGAAGGCAATTTTATGATAACACACTCCTGCTTTAAATACTCAAGTTGCTTTCTATTTCTCTTTAATGAAGATCAGTTTTTACCCTTGCCTTACAAGTTCAAGTATATAATCCACTTACCTTGACAGGCTCATCACTTGTCATTTTCTTTGCTATATATCACAGACACATGGGAATTATTTTAGTTCCTGGAATAGGCTGAGCTTTTCCTGATAAAGAACCTTTGTTACATTATTCCTTTAGCCAAGAATGTTCTCATCTGGGTCTTTCATATTTAAGCTCAATTTCATTCTGAATTTCACCCAAAGGTTTCTAAATATCATATCCTGTTATTTTTAGTCACACTACCCATTTTCCTATTGAGTATTGTTGTGTTAATTCTATGTGTCTTTTCCACCAGCATTTAAGTACAATGAGGGCAAGATTCCTTAGGGTTTGCTTGGAAGCCCAAAGTCCACATATATTTAAATGGAATAAACAGTATAAATTAGGACTAGGAATAAACATTATATAACAGACTTGGGTTATGTCTGCAAGAAATATAAACTATGTAGTAATGGCAATGGGGAGTTCTGAATTCAAACTGAAAAAGGATTTTCTAATAGGATAGTGTTTCAAACCTATACCCCCAAAATTAAAAAAAAAAATCCAAACATTCTCTGTTTAATTTTATTTGGATCAATACTCATCAATTCACAGTTTAGTTGCTGTGATAAAACTGCTGAGTTTTACTTGTTCCATTCATTTCTTTTATAATTTGGGAAGCTCAAGAGAGTCAAGTACTGGGGAATTGGAGGGAAACTGGGGATGTTGGTGTTGGAACTTTATATGACTGAAACCCAATGTGAACAGCTTTGAAAATGTGTATCTCACTATGATTCAATTAAAAGAAATAAAAAAAAAAGAAAATTTCAAGTACAATGATGTTCTACAATAGTAACCAGTTACAAGGAGGACAACCCATTTTCCCTAGCAAATTGTGCCTATAGGGCATTCAAATTAACATATGTTAGCTAATGTAGTGCTGCAGGGAGAAGCCATTGATTTCTCCAAGGATCATTTGAAAATGATCAATCACTGTCTTATAAATGACAGAACCATCATTTATCAGATACTAATTGTTTTAGTGGGAAATGAATACCTTTTGGACTTGGAAATATGGTTACCCTAAGGGAAAGTAGCTTGAATAAATAAAATAATGTGCATACAACTATATTTTGCAGTTCATTATTCAATAATAAACTTTTTCAGAAGAATTTTTAATGCTTTAAAACTCCACTGTAAATCTAATTTTTTAATTTTATGAATTATCAAGGGTTAAACCTTAAAATTGTTCATATGCATTAATTTACAAATAAAAGCATGGAAGTATAACCAGTTTATAGATTTATCAGTTTAAATATCATATATAACACTTTAATGGTATCACATTCTGAGTAAAGTCTACATTAATCTTATTTTAATAGGGATCTATTTGAAACTTATATTTAAAATATGGGCTTTGAACACAATACATAAAGTAAAAGCAAAATCTCCTTGGTTTATATATATACTTCTAATTTTATATTTGTTTTATTTATTGTTATTATTTTTGTTTTGGGTCCACATCTGCCCATGCTCAGGACTTACTCCTGCCTCTGAGCTCAAGGATCATTCCTGAGGGGATTTGGGGTACTAGTTAGGGTGCCAGGGATTAAAAAGCTGTGTGAAGCACTCTGTGCATTGAATTTTCTCTCCATCCCTTTCAAATCTATTTAGTTTACTTTTAATGATATTTCTTAAACTGTGTATAGAAAATAATATATGAAGTATGCATATACGTATAAACCAATATTCCATGTTTTGCTTTTATAATTGTTCAAAGTCCTATTGAATAGTTGTTGAAATATTTACATAGCAAGGCCATCACATTATGGTACTTATTTTGTAAGATATTTCGATTGAGACTTATGCATATATTTATGAACATTGACAATATGCCAGAATTGAATAGGAAAAATTGCAGGGTCACTACTTTCATTGACTATCGATGCTTTTATGGAAAC